GCTTACAGAAAAAATATATAGAGAAAATTCTACGAACGAAAACTTTGAATTATTATCTCGTGTAATGACCGAAACAAAGAAGCTTCTTAAAAAAAGAAATGGGAAGGGTGGAAGACCTTTTGTGTAACTTTATCACCTGACGTCTCACCTTCTGTAGTTTGGCAAAATATACGGCGTTTTCGATCAGCTTTTAAGGAACCTGGCGCAGCTTTTCTTCCAAAAGTACATCTTTTTAGATAAACTTGCTCCTCCGCTAGTTCCCAATTTCTTTATCTCTCATACTCTTTCCCCAATAATTAATACCAACAGCTTAACAAATCTCGATTCTCCTTTTAGCCTTGCAGAGCTGAAAGGTGTTTTAGCCTACGTTAAAGATTCTGCTCCAGGAACTGACGGTATACCATATTCTTTTCTCTCTCATTTAAACGATTCTAGCCTTCTTTATTTTTTAGAATTAATTAATTCCATTATGATTTCTGGCAATATTCCTACTTCGTGGAAATTACAAGAAGTAATTCCTATTTTAAAACCAAATAAGCCTCCTTCTGATGCTAATTCATACAGACCAATAGCCCTCTCATCCGTTCTTGCTAAATTAACCGAACATCTAATAAAAAATCGATTAGAATGGTTTGTTTAAACTCATGAATTTCGTCGTGTGTCGTAACGTGAATACGGCTAGAATGGTTTATTTCAGTTATTTTCATAGCATTATGTCATATGGGATTCTTCTCTGGGGGAGTGCAGCAGATATTAATACCATCTTTGTACTGCAAAAACGGGCTATTAGAGCAATTTATCAACTACATCCGCGTGACTCCCTTAGAGAAAAGTTCAAGGAGATAAATATTCTAACTGTAGCATCACAATATATATTGGACAACTTACTATATGTAAAGAAAAATATTATACATTTTTGTGAAAAATGTGATACACATAATGTTAATACTAGGAAAAAACACGATTTGGTTGTACATAAAACTCGTCTCCACAGAATAAACAATTCCTTTGTGGGCCAATGTATACGTTTTTACAATAAGCTTCCAAATAATATGAGAGATTTGCCTATTAATAAATTTAAAACAACTTTAAAAGCTAAATTGTATAAAAAAGCTTATTATAAAATTAATGACTATTTGAATGATAAAAATGCGTGGGAGTAAAATCTGCCCAAAATTTACGCATCTAAAACGGTACTTTTAGTACTTTAATTATTATTTTTTGATGTAACTATTGACCTGTAAAGATCAGTACGAAATTGTAAGCTGTGGAGTTTCTTTCGCCGCTTCTTCTCCGATAAAGCAGCATAATAATTAGGTATTTAAGTGAAATAATTATTGCATCTCGAAACTGTGGTAGGGAGTTGACGATTTAAAAGTACTTACCAAAGTCCATTTAAATAAAGATATTTTGAGTTTGAGTTTGCTCCCAACCAATACGGTTTTAGAAAGGGACGAAGTACTATGGATAGTCTTGGTATATTTACTACCGATATAAGATTATCATTTAGTAACAATGAATCAACACTTGCAGCTTTCTTAGATATAAATTCTGCCTATGATAACGTCGATCTGCACGTATTAAAGCTGAAACTCCTAAACCTAAAAGTTCCTCTTTTAATCACTAATTTTATAATTAATTACTTGTCTGGGAGAGTGATTACAATTGATACGGGCGATTCAAAGTATAAATCTAGAACTTTATGGAAGGGTTTACCTCAGGGATGTGTCATAAGCCCTATCTTGTATAATATTTATACACATGACCTAGATAAAGCCATTCAAAATTCAAATAGTGATTGTAACAATGTGTCGGTATTACAATATGCAGATGATTTAGTTGTATATGTTTCGGGACGATCAATTTTAGAAATAAGTAATATTTTAAGTAGAGCACTGTCCAAACTTAAAATTTGGCTAGATTTTAACGCTCTTAATCTCTGCGTTTCAAAAAGCTGCGTAGTGTTATTTTCTAGAATGCGTCTGCCCCCTTCTGTTTCCGTATGTTTTGACAATAAACCTATCCCGGTACAAAACGAAACAAAATTTTTAGGAGTTATATTAGACGCTAAATTATCAGGTTTATCTCACTGCTATTATGTTACAGCTCGATGTGAACGAGTTTTAAATATCATGAGATGCTTAACAGGTGTTTGGTGGGGTGGACACCCATATACTTTGAAACTTATTTACAATGCTCTTTTACGAAGTATTTTAGACTATGGAAGTTACTTTCTTGAGCCATGTAATGCTGTTGGGCTTAAAAAGCTTGATGGGATACAGTCTAAAGCTCTTCGCTTAATAGCCGGAGCAATGAAATCTAGCCCTATCAATGCTTTACAAGTGGAATGTGTCGACCCTCCTCTGCGACTCCGTCGTCAATATCTTTCTGACAAGTTTTTGTTCCGTGCTTTGCAATTTGCTAAGCACCCCCTTCATTCCAAATTATCTACTTTTTCACATATAGTAACAACATCTTCTTACTGGAGGCTTAAGTCACTACCTTGTTTAGTAGTAAGTTTTCGTAAATTTTCCTCTCTGCATTCCCCTACTCATATCTCTCAACGTCTGTCTATTTTTTCTGCAGACTATGAAGCTTTAACTGTTGTTCCTAAAATATATTTTACTTTAGATATATCTCGATCCATTTATTCTGCAAATGTTGATTTTAATATAATCATAGATAGAGACTGGCCAGATCGACATTACATTTATAGCGATGCATCTAAAAACTCTTCCTCAGGCCTCGTTGGTGTTGGAGTTTGTCATCAACAATCAAAAATTGTCCAAAAAATTAAACTACCACCTGAAACTTCTGTTTTTACTGGTGAATGCTACGGATTATTTAAAGCTTTAGAATATATTTATCTGATGAAATTGCATAAATCTGTTATATTTTCTGATTCTAAAAGCGCGCTTCAAGCACATCAAAAATTTCCTTTTAAATATACCAATCATCCTGTAATCATAGATTGTAGAAAATTGCTTTGGCAATGCCATTTAAAAGGTTTCGATGTAGTTTTTGCCTGGATACCTAGTCATATAGGTATTTCTGGCAATGAAATTGCTGATAAACTTGCCAATGATGCTGTGGATTGTGGAGATATTTTTCCATACAAAAACTTTATTAATGATCTTTTAGGTCTTCCTAATTCGGATCTATGTGAATCTTGGGAACAAGTATGGTCTGTTTCTAGTAAAAGTAAAGGAAAGCATTACTCACAAATTCAAACTTTCATTCCTACAAAGCCTTGGTTTTATAATTTTAGATTTAGCAAGATAACGACCTCTATCATAACTCGGATGAGACTGGGTCATGTTTGCACTCCTTCTCATCTGGCCAGATTAGGAATAGTTAATAGCGTAAGTGTAATTGCGGTGCTGATATTGGCGATTTAAACCATATTTTTTTTGTCTGCTCCTTAATTGACTGTTCCTCTTTTATTGACTCCTTAACATCCCTTCGTACTCCTCTCCCGACTTCTATAAATACTTTGCTATATTCTATGAAATATGATATTTATTTATGTATTTCAAATTTTATCCTTAAACATAATATTAAACTGTAAATATGTAAATACCTACCTGAACCTTTCCTAAAAATTCCGTTCCTTTTTTTTTATCCTGTTTCCCTACCTTTACATTTGTATGTGGCTGACGCACAAACCGTGCAGGCTATAAAGGAATAAAAAAAAAAAAAAAGTAAGAATATTCATTTGAATTTCAAATGAGCAGTGTTAAGCAGAAAACAACCAGCAGGAATTTTGGGATTAAACAGAATGCAACTTAAATATGTTCAGGTTCATAGAACAAATTTTCGCTTGTTCAAAAAATGGCCAGTGGCTTAACTCTCAAATAAGAATGCCTGAGGTTGATTGTTGTTTTCACTGACTGACTTTGTTATGTGGCATATTATAAAGTTTAAAATTACATATAGTAATTTGGCAGAAAACTTTAATATTATTAAGGCTAAAATACATATTTCTATTAAAACTTGAGCAAATAAGATCTTATTGATATTGACTTGAGCAAGCCTAAACTGTTCATCTGATCATGATAAAAGTTTGATGAGTTTTGTTCCTGTAGCAGAACACTTAAACGTAAAAAATATCGATGGTATATTCTAATACAGTAGAATCCGTTTATTATGACTCCGCCTATATTTACCAACCGCCTATTATGACGTAATTACACAACGTAGTTTGGTTTTCATATAAAATTCATTGTAACAATGTCGGATATAATGACTTCACTTACAGTGACCTGTCGCTTATTATGACCCATTTTAATCAATTTGGTGCGTTTATAGTGACCGACATGGTTCTTTACACCTTTGGTAATGTTCGTTGATTTCCGATAACGTTCGGCACGTGGCTCGTTTTTGTTTTGAATCTCAGTGAGTAATTTACATTTGAACACCACGCATTGTTTTTAGTGATATCCTATGTAATAAAATGTCATCTCAACGTCGTAAAGCATTTACGACTGAGGAAAAAGGTGCAATAATATCATCATCATCAACTGCCTATCTTAGTCCACTGTTGGACATAGGCCTCTCCTAATGCACGCCACTCAGATTGATCTTGGGCTACTCTACTACTACATTGGCAACAATATGCTGATTAGTAAATGGAGAATCAAACTCATTTTACAATCTTTTTTCAGAAAAATGCTTTGTATGACGTCCGCTTGTCGATTCCCTTCGAGTCATAATAAACACTTTGTACTGTATTGTATTGCTAAGTGTACATTTTAGATATTGTTGTTTTAAAGAAACTTATTGTTTATATAATTATTTTATTGTATTTGTGTTTGGAAAATGAATTCTTAAATTAATAATGTGTTTAGAGAAAAGTATAGAATTCATGCCAAAAAATGTCTTTTTCGGTAGACGGACAAATTATTTCAATGGAAGACATCAAGCCTAGTGTCATCTGTATAACTTAAATACAGAGTAAAGTAGTAATATCAGCATCAGAGTAAATCTAGCATTAATATTACCGTAATCTATCAACAACTGCTTGTCGCTTGGGTGGAAGGATCATCTCTTCCATAGGCTGCAACATATTTGGTGGATGCTGGGCGGGCGATGCGCCGGGCAGCAAGCTGCCCGGGCCACCACCTCCCACGAGGTGCTCCACGGTGGTTTGCTCGTCACTTCACCTCAAGTTTATCATTTTGTCCAATTGTAAGCTGACAGCTTCACGTACTCAAGTACTGCACCATGAACGTGGTAGAAACACTATGAAAAAACCGCTGGAACTCGTCCTAAACACCTTCACAACATTCATATTGTCACAAAGTTTACAACTCCTAGCTTACTTAGTTAGATACCGAACTCCACATAAGTAAAGTTATATTCACTTTATTTTAAGTAGGTACATCATTAATTAGACACTGTTATCAATGACAGAATGACAAAAATACAGGACGTCTGGATTTGTTTAATTATAAACACGTCAATGTTTTGAACAAGTTAAAAACTTCCAAGAAATGTACACTGTAAGTTATTTTGTCCGTTTGTTCGAAGAAAATTGATTGTTCAATTTAGTGGCACCGAATAATAATATCCAAATGTTTAATAAAGTATAAAAAACCGCACAAACAACGTAAGATATCCAAATGCAAGGATTGTATTGTATCCACAAAATCTCAAACATCAACTGACGGACGCTTTCCTTGCTGTTGCTAGCTGGCTTGACGTGAACGCTTGACGGACGGAACGGTGACGCATGTGGGATGTGGGGAACAATCTATGGCAACAACATCTTCGTGAAACCCAGTGGCCAGAATTCGTTTTAAAATTACCCAAAATTAAAACTTTATTTACAAATTATTCGTTTTATTTAATCAACGGGTTTGATTAGGGATTGATGTTTCTCTAAATTATTTCAACAACCTCACCCTTTCATTCTGTATTATAGTAAATGAGAAGGATTCACTGACCACTGTTGTCAAATAAAATTTTGGTTTAAGAGAATCATACCCATTGGCAATTTTTTTAACATCAGCGACAATGATATTTAATACCCTACATGCAACAACACGAACAAAATCGTCACCGAAACCTGACCAAAAGGTACATTCAGCGATCCACGGAGCTCCGTATGATGATCGCGTAGTCAAAAACAGTATAAGTCATTATTTAATGAAAGTCATCTTTAATGCATACTGCAATACCAAACGACTTATTGCGTTAAGCGGAAGATTATAGAATTTATTTCTTTGACTCTATGCGCAGTTCTGAATGCGCTGTCAGCAATACAGCAGGTAAGGACCGCGAGGAAAAGAAACGGCTATTTGACTGACCATGCATTTGAATTTCAAATTTTTTTCTAATATATCAGTTTATAGTATGAGTTAGAACAAAATTTGCTTCAAATGCGTTAAATTAACAAACATCGATTAGATACCTGTTGAAAAACGACACTCAACAAAGTATTTTTTTCGCTTTTTTCGCGGAGCTTTGGGGTATTTTGACTTTTCAACGTTCTGCGCGTGACTGTGAGTGAACCAAGAATTGCTTGAATGGTGTTCAAGCATTTCTTGATAGGGACACATTTTGAGAAAACGTGATTTATCTAGGGTAATTAATATCGTTGAATGACGTAAAAAAACAAGTACACTCCCAATCCCCTGACAAAAGTTCATCAAATAACGTTCGAGCTTAGCTGTTCTATAGATCAACTTGTACAGATAACATTGGGTGTATTCCGAAATATAAACCAGTACGCTGGCCAGCTGTAATGAGGTCATGATTTCGACGTCATATTGCACTGGTGTACAGTTTGTCTATAAAGTCGTGACATCAAATGATGGCGCCACTAGCATGCATGTAGCAACCCTATACAGTCGGACCAAAATGATTTTGATACTAGCAGTTCATTCAAGCAAAATAGGTAATTAACAAGACACACTATACAGTCGTATTTTGTTTCTGTGTTATATGTATTAGGTACCTATGCTTATAAAAAGTTTAGGCAAGCATATTTAATTGAATCAGAATAAAATTATTAAAGGTAAAATAGTACTTTATAGTGTAAAAGTGTGTAATGTTGGTGATTACCGCTGAGGTGCTATTGAGACCAGAGCCGTTAGGTAATCATCAATACACACAAGTATCATCATACGACGTATTTTAACACACTTGTTAAGTAAATAATACTAAAATCATTTTATAGTATATAAAAAGTTTATTTAGAGAAACAATTTGTAAATGCAGTTAGTAAAATTAGTGATAGATATCTTCACTAAAAGCATCTGGCCATGGTTCTTTATGTGACCATTTCTTTCTTTGGCCGGCCTTGCCTGTTTTCCCAGGAGTTTCAAACTTTCCATCATTCTTAAAACCTTCGTTGACTATCCGACTCTCTGATTTTCCTGAAAAAAAGTAAAAAAATATGTAATGGATTAGAAACAATAACTTATTGACATGAAGCAATTAATTCAAAATTGGTAGTAAACCTGACCGAGTTGAACCATAATAACATATCAAAAGAAATAGTAGTACTACAATATTACCTATTTACAATGTCAATCTAACCTAAAAATGTGGAATATAAACAATGCCTTTTTTGGTCTCAAAATCGTAGATTGAGTAAATTTGTAACTTCAGGCAGATTACAAACAAATAGTTACACGATTATATACCCGTCATAGATGCTGTTCGCCCATAAACATCGTCCAAATCCCACAAAATTCGTCCAGCTTGGTAGTCTTCGAAACATCGCTGGAAAACTTTAAAAATCACTTCCCGCGTGCCACTCCGATTTACTTTACTCATTTTTATACCTTTCTGTGTAGTTTCGTCTTAATTTATTACAGTTTAATCCAAACAATAAAAAATACAAAAGGAAAACTGTTCCACAACTGAAACTCGATGACAGCTGATGTACATAAGTTTGGTGCTGCCAGACACATGAATAATGTTAGTTCCTCAAACATTCATGTCACGACTTTATAGACAAAATGGTGTCGATTCTAGCATGATTCTCTAAACCTAAACTTAAATTTGACAACAGTGTATCCTTGTCATTCTCTATACAGAATGAAAAGGAGAGACTGATGTTAAAATTAGTTTTAAGTTTAGAGAATCACGCCAGAATCGACACCACTGTAGTACTTGTAGTGTTGTCAATATGGCGTCGAAATCATGACGTCATTACCAGTGGCCAGCGTACTGGTGTTTGATTCAGAATACACCCATTAACACACTTGTTTAAATTGATGTTAGTTCTGTCTAATGAATCGTGACACTCCAAAAGAGCGGGAAATTTAAAATTTCTGTAGCTGTAAACACCGCCTTTAAAAGGACAAAATAGACTGATACTTTAAGTTAACAGATTAATGAAACATCATACCGAATATAAAAAATGGCGAGGTCCTCAATATTGATATATATATATATATATATATATATATATTTTTTTACCTCATAGCTCTGAGATTTGTAAATGGATTTTGATGATGACGATGATTTGATTTTCCAATAACTATCCGGTGCCCAATGACTGGCAGTTTACAGTGATTTATGGAAAAATATATATCAAAAAATCAAAAAATATGTTTATTTTCCATCACAACAGAGATTTATAGTTAGTCATGTATATCAATTTCAGTGTTGTGGCTCCTCTATTTGTGATGAACTGGTGCCTGAAATAGGTTTCAGCAGTAGAAACCTGTGCTACAGGTCACCAGGCCCAACCACAGATAGCAAGACTTGGACAGTTGAAGATATTATACATTGTTGTTTCAACAGCATTGAATAAAAGAAAATAAATAAACAATAACAATAATCAAAGAAAAACTATTCTATCTAATTGAAAGCTAGAAAAAATATCCAGATTCTAAAAATAAAAATAATAACCAAAAGCGGCGTGTATGTGTGTGATAGTAAGTGTTTGTGTGATTTCGTTCTTTTTGTCTATGTGATATGTATGCAGTGTAGTGTATGTGTGTGTGTATGTTTGTGTATGTGCAGTCGTGTGTGAATGATTAGTTTCAACAGTTGCAGAGGCGAAATTAAAATCTCATGTGAAAACTACGAATATCGTCATGTTTGCAGTTTTATCTTAGAGGGCATAATAGGTTTTCAGTAGTATCATAGTCAAGTGTCAATAGATAATCGCGGACGATAATTTTGCAGTGGGTTTTATGACGAGAATAAATATGGAGGATATAATTTATTCGGTTGTAGAGGAATGGGCCTAGAAACTGGAAGACGTTTTGTGCAAAGGAGGTTTTCTGAGTGGGTAAAGGGCAGACTTGAGTTTTGCGTCTCCTCTGTTCAAATTTGGGGTCATAAGTTAACTGACTATGTTTTGGAAGTACGGTTTTCAGAACAAAATTTGTCGTACAGAGAGAATGTTCCAGACTTTGTGTAACTCTACAGTAGGATAGCGATATGGGAGTCCTGCAGCCCCCTTAAGCAATATGCGCTGAGATCTCTCCACCGTTAGTAAGTATGTTTTTGCGGCCCCACCCCAAGAGGTGATGCAGTATTCCAATAGAGAGTGGCATAAGGCATAATAAACATTTTTAATAATTTTCCGCTCTGCAACACCTCTCAGATTTCTAAAAATATAAGTCATGTTTCGCAGTCTTGATGCTAGAAGATCGAGATGGTACTTGAAGGTGAGGGTTTGGTCATGCAATACTCCTAGATATTTTATGCAGTCGGTACGCTCCAAAGAGGGACAAGGGCAAGAAATCATAGGAGACTGGGTGTTACACTCATGGACAGTTATGTTATGTTCTGCTGATGGAAGTTGTTTAGATTTTAAAGCAAAAGTGATATATTTAGTCTTGGAGACATTAAGTGTGAGGGTATTACATTTCAGCCACTTTGTTACTACATTTAGGCCTTTCTGTGCTAGTTCAAATGAACTGTCCCAAGAGTTCCCTTGAAAGAAAAGAGCAGTGTCATCAGCAAAAGTAAAGGTTCTGCCCCCTGTGAGCAGAAGTTGACATAGCTCATTAATGTAAACCAAAAATAGGGTAGGCCCGAGGATGCTACCCTGCGGCACACCATAAGTGATGCTCGATTCTTCACTTACCCAATGTTCAATTTTAACTCTCTGTGTCCTATTTGAAAGGTAATCCGAAAACATCTTGAGCGGTAGGCCTATAATTCCATAACTCTCTAGTCTGGAGAGTAACCGGGGAATGGAGACCGTGTCGAATGCCTTGGCTAGATCGAGGAAAAGTACCTCACACTTTCTTCTCTCATCCAAGCTAGACACAATCGATTGCGTAAGATCATTAACAGCATCATTTGTGGATCTTCCTTTTCGAAAACCGTATTGTGACAAAGAGAGTATGTTATTTGTTTCTAAGAAAGTTGTTAACCTCTTGTTCATTATGCGCTCTAAAATTTTGGAGAGAGCAGGAAGGATGGTGATAGGCCTATAGTTCTCGACACGATCCTTATCACCGTTTTTGTAGATCGGTTTGATTTGACCACCCTTGAAAGCTGTGGGAAACACTCCATTTGCAATTGCTAGGTTACAAATGTGCGTCAAAGGTGGTATTATAAGCTCAGCATATCGTTTTATAATTCTGGTTGATATAAGATCAGTACCCACCGCACACTGTTCTTTAAGTCCGGATATGATATTTGCCACTTCATGCTCATCCGTAGGTGACATAACGAGGCAACCAGGAGGGGACGTCGTTGTTTGAACTTGACAGTAGCATGAAGTATCATTACAGGGGATTATGTTTTCGGCAAGTTTTTTGCCGACATTGGCGAAG